TTGTAAACACACCTTTGCCTCACAGCAAGTCTACAGGATCATTGTAACCCACCCTCCTGGTGCACCATCTCTTATTGCAGTGGTCCCTATACCTGGGAAGCTTTGGGAAATACAAGAGGACTTCTTGTCCTCATATTTTAGAAAATCTGATTCAGGAGGTCTGGGATAACAACTAGGCATTGCAAGTTCTGGAAGCCCAGGTAATTATGGTAACAGGTTAGGCACCTAACTTATGTCTCAGAAAAGAATTTCTCTTCCTCCCTTTTGTCCCTCATTTTGAAAGGACACGGAAAAGTCTTGTCGCCATCAAGTGCTATACCCTCTCTCTCACCCCTGGCTGGCTGTTCATTTCTCCATAATTGTTTAGCAAATGACTCCAGAATACACAAAAATCATTTTGCTGCAACACATTCCATTCCATAATGACTGCTCATTTCAATTAGCTGTCAGAGGCCTGAAATAGAGCTGCCCAGCCTCGCTCGGATAAATCACCACCTTTGTTTGAAATTGGATTTAAGGCAGCCGGGGCAGAGAGGGTGTGGGGAGGGGATAAATATTTTATCATTTCTTCCTTCTCAGTGCTCTACCAGTTTGTTCTCATTCTCGTGTTCCTCCCTGTGCTCACCGGCAGATTGCTGACTGTAAATTTGAGGGGCAACAGTAAACCTGCAAACATGATAAATAAACATGTTGCTTTTGCGAGGACAGATATTATTATCATCCAGATTTACAGCTCTCTGCACCTACCCGTTTTATTGCTTTTTGGGAAAGCTGAGCTAGGTTTCCGTGTTACATTGATCAACTTTCTGCCCTCTGCCCCCTGACATCCACTGAGTCATTTAAATATCAACATGGACTGGGGATACAATTTGTCTCTCTGGAAGTGAATGTGTCTTGACAGGTGTTTTCTTTGGGGACAGTTATTTATAACCGCCAAAGCTATCATACGGTGGGGTGCCTTTGTCTCCTCTCATTTCTCTAAAAGTGAACATATTTTTGTTTTCCCAGTGGGAAGAAATGCCAGATCAATGATGTAAATCTCTCTTTCTCTGCTTCTCTCTCCCTGTCCTTTTTCTCTCTCTGTCCTTTCTCTGCCTCTCTCTCTCTCTCTCTCTCTCTCTCTGCATATTCTGCCCTCTTCTGTCCCCTCCACCCTCTGGATGGGCCTTGGGTCATCCCCAGGTTCAAATCCAAGTGCTGCCACCAACTTTTGTGTCCCCTGAGCAAATTATTTAACTTATCAAAGTTCAGTAATTTAAAACTGTACATGTTCCCTCTCCCATGTTCCTCGTTGCCTATTTATAAGAGAGAATTGAATGAGATATTTCTGTCATCTCTTACCTTCCCTCCTCCCACCCCCAACTTAGGTGGCAAACTCTTGGGGACAGGGAACCGTGCCAAATCAACGTCTTTTCTCCCTTTCTGCCTGGCTCCTCTGTTCCCTCTCTGGAGCTGCTCAGGCCAGAACCTTGGGGTCCTCTTTGTCCTGTCATTTCCCCATCCCCACATCCAGTGTGTTACCGTGTCCTGCAGATTCTTCCCCAGCTCTCTCCATACTCTGTGCCTCTCTCTGACCCCAAAACCCCACACTTCTCACATTTTTGAGTGCCCCCAAAGTGCCAGGCACTGAGCTGGTCTCTGAGCACTGTCCCCTCTCATGAGGAGCACATAGTAGTTTCTTTACTGTTTTAAGGCTTGCACCCCCACACCCCATTTTCTCTCTCTCTCTCTCTCTCTCTTACTGTAATAGCTAAGGGCTGGGGCAGTGGAGCGTGTGCCTGCAGATTCTGTTGCTAAGGAAACCACCTCCTTGGTTACCAGCCTGGGTAGCGTTTGTCTCACTATGTCTGGATCCTGCTGAGTCGCCCCCACTCTTCAGGAAGAGGATGAGGAGATGGGAGAGGACAACAGGGGTGGGGGGCAGGAGGCGTAGAGAGCGGCAGAGAGCTCAGAGATCAAGAGGTAGAGATGGAGAGAGTTTGCACAGGCAGAAACAAAAATCAAGGAAGAGAGAAAAGGAGAAAGGGAGGGAGAGAAAGGCGGGGAGGAAGGAAGAGGAGAAGAGAGAAGAGAAGGAGGGGCAGAAAGGCAGGAAAGAAAAGAGATTTAATGAGCAGCTGGAGGAAATCAGAGACCACAAAGAGGGGAATTGAGAACAGGAGGCTGGGCGAAGAAAAACAGAAAAGGGGGAGGGATGAGGCGAGAAAACAATGAAGGAGAGAAAGGGGAAGAAAGGGGGACTGGGCCTCTGGGAGGAGGTTGGGTCCCTGAGGATCTACTCCCAGCATCCTTTTTGCCTCCCCCTCTGCCTACTCCCACATTTTCCACTGGGATGTGTCTGCAGCCTCCTCTGGGGTTACAGGAGAATCCAGAAGGTATCCCCAAAATCAGCAGATTCCGAGCCCTGGTCTTTCTCCTGAGTCCTGGAGCCATAGTGAGCCCCAGGCAGCAGCAGGACAAGAGTCCAGGTGTCCTGGTTTCCAGGCCAGGCATGGATCCTACACTGGGGAATGCTTGGATCCAAAGCTTTCCTTATCCTTTGGGTGCAAGGGCCTTGTCACTCTCTGTATGTGGAAAGGACTTTTAGGTCCTTGGAGAAGACAGCAGTGGCCCCAGCTCTGCTATAGCAACCTAGGCTTTCTGGGTTTTGGGGAATGCACTGTGAACAAGTATCCACTTGTGACTGTTGCACCTTGAGTTCCTGCTGTTTCGAAAAAGTTCCAGGAAGAAGCTCAGCTCTGAAAAATCAAAACCCAGTTGGATCCACAGATGCCTGAGTTGGAGATGAACTTTGGCAAACTCTCCTCATTACCATACTAACCCCACACCCTGTCCAATCCCAGGGAGGAACTTATTGGCCATTTTCTATGCATGCAACATATGTGGAAGGATGATTCTCGACTGCACCTGTGTGGCCTTGACCCTACCTCTGCATACAATGGCTCGGCTCACTAGCTCAATACAAGCCCTGTGTTCACCGTTGTTCACGGAGGCACTGCTTTGGGAACCACCCCTAGTGTCCTACTTACTTGTGATAAGTAATAAAATCCTCCTGTTAAATCCTCCTTGGTTGTGGTCACCTGCCAAACAATTGCACCCACAGGTTGTGTGTGTAACACTATTAGTTTCTGTGTGGCTTGGACCAGCCACTGCCTGCCTCTGAGCAACAATGTCTCCCTACAAAATGGAGTTAATGATCTCTGTTTTAACAACCTCATGGGGTTGGTCAGGAGCCACTTGAGTCCTTTTCCTTCTTTGTGTCACCATCTTCTCCCTGAAAGCTTTCTGATTACTTTGAGATATCTGCTCAGTACCAGTAAAACGTACATTGCTGTAGCATAGATTTTTGTCTGTCTTATTACTTTTATAGTTCCTAGAATTGAGAGCAGTGCCTGGCACATGGTAGATGCTCAGTAAATATGTGCTGAATGAATGAAGGAATGAATGATACCTTGGTTTTTTCTGGGTCTGAAATACAAAGATTTTATTCCAGGTGGCTGACGAAGTGTGATAGGAAGGGCAGAAATTCGCCGAAGAAGAGCCTGGTAAACTGTCCAGCCCCACCTTCAGCCTAAAGGGCTTTCGCACCACCCCCTCCCACCTGACAGTGATCTGTGGTTTGAAAGCACAGTGGGCAGGTGGAAAGCAGGGAGTTGCATAAGGCACATAATCTGAGAATTCTGAGAAGGATCCGTGAGAGCTTGGGGCTAGACGCTGCATGGCTTTCTGCACTTCCAGTTGGGAGGATTTGGTTGCGTGAGTAATATTTAGAAAAGTGAAAGAAAACTGGAACATTGGTTCACGGCTCAGCCTGTGACCTCTTGATCTGAGATCAGGGGCAGGACCAGACCCAGGGCTTGGAGTGACCAAGATCATGACTTATGCAGGGCCAGGACTGGGGCTCCACCTGTGACCAGAATCAGAGCTCAGTGCATGACAGAGATTAGGACTCAGTCAGGAGACACTATCAGCATTAGTTCTGAGGCAGGTCAGGGCTCAGTCTGTGACCCAGGTTGGAGGGTAGTCGATGACTAGGGTCAAGGCTCAGTATAAGTAGTTTGGGACTCAGTCCAATGTGACTCAGTCAGTGTGGGGCTGGAATGAGGGTTTGTGGATCAGTATGTGCACAGGATGAGGGCTCAGTCTGTGATCAGGTTCAAGGCTCTAGGATTGGGCTCAGTCTGTGACCAGGTCAGCCTTGGTTTAATACTGGGGACAGAGTGTAGCCTGGGCCCCAGATCAGAGCTCAATCAGTCATCACATAATGACTTTTGTGAGCCAAGATGAACCCTTAGAGAAAGGCTGAAAGGCCATGTTCTTCTGGATTCTGGAACAAACTCACACCGTTTCAGAGATTTTCCTCTCCCCTCCCCACCACAGTCACCCCAGCACTCTCAGTCCTCCTGAGCTCTCCCTGCCTGGGGGAGGAGAAGCCCCTCTCTCTTTCCTCTGCCTGGCCCAGCTCATCCCCTGCTTACTGTCCATGTGGCAGTATATAACACTTTGCCTCTCCCTCTGGCTGGAAAACAGCCCCTGGACATCAGCACCTCCTCACAGAAGCCCCTCTGATGCACGAGGAGGAAGAACACAGGGTCTTCCTTCAGCGGTATATGGAGGTTTAGAAACACTCATCCCCACCCACCAGGGAACAGAGTGGACTTCTCTGTACTCCTGGACTCTCCCTGACTTCCCTGCTGCATATGCCTGTGCAAAGCATTACGCTCAGGGTCTGTCTCTGTGTCTCTGTCGCTCTCTCTCTCTCTTTCTTACATACACACACTCTCTCTCTTACAAACATACACAGAAGGGATGCCTCTCATAGATAACCTCTTCCATACCTGTGCACATACTCAGGCAGGAATACTTCCATGACACTCCAGTGACCTCATCCCACCCACCACTTCTCCCCACAATTCCTCCCCGTCACAGCAGCCAAGGACAAAAGGCATATGTGGAAGGCATGCCCTCCCCAAATAGACAGGCAGCTTCTCACACATGGGTTTCATGCACACTGACCATTTTCTCCTTTACACGGGTGCAATTCCATATACAAGGACCTGCACAGACCTATTATAAATGGATGGTCATAACGGCAACTTGTGGGATACAGTTTCAAAACACAGAGAGGCAGGAGAACACAAAGGCAATTTTATACACAGAGGCATGTAATTCTTCCTGAGCAGCTATGCCAGTCACACAGGCACAAAAGTAGTTATACACCAACCCACCTGCCACCCTGAACATTTTCTGTCTCTATCTCTGTTTCTTCTCTCTCTCTCTCTGTCTCTCTATGCCTCTCTGTCTCTCACTGTCTCTATCTCTCTCTCTCTCTCACATACACACACGCACACACACACACCCCAGGAAAACATCCCATTTGTGAACCTGTCTTACACAACACTCTACCACATGGTAGAATCATCAACAAAACTCGCATTTAATGATGGTGTTGACCTGAGGAATCTTCAGACAGAAGCTTGTGGTCAGAGGGGACCACCAGCAAAGAACTGACCCAGGTCTTGGACCAAGAGTCTTGCAGAGAGAGTCAACCTCCCAGTGGAAGGGAGGCCAACCCCTCCACTGCTTCATGAAAGAAGACTAGAAATTCGCCTGGGGGAAAGAAACACGGTACAAAATACATTCAGAGCCCCGTGGGTGGGCCTGGGGCAGCCCAAGTCCTACAGATGAGGGAATCAGGGAAAGGTGCCACAGGTCTAATCCCTGTGTCCTTCCTTTGCATGGCCAGGTTCCAATGGGCGGAATGTATTAATCATATTCCTCTTACAAAAATATATCTCTTTACACGCATCTTCTCCGTGGTCTCTTTGCTACTTGGGAATGAGCATTTACCTGCACCCCAAGGCTTCAGAGGGACCGCTTAGGGAGGCTGCTCCAACAGAATAGCAAAGAGGCTGCGACCTATGGCTTTTTCATCTACACAATGATGGATGGTGCAGGTTTGGACCAGGTGGGAAGCCACTAGTGTCCGGGGTTGGGGAAGAGATGACTCTGGACCAACACTTTGTAAGATTGATGCTCTGTGATTCAGGTCCTCAGAAATCCTTTGGTTTGGCATCTCAGCATCAAGAGAGCAGTGTTTGTATAGAAATGACACAATTTCATTCACCCCATTCCTTAAAGGGTCCTCAAGGGAAGCTGGCCCTGTTGGACTGTGATCAAGGGGAGACAGATGGTCTGGGAAGGTAGTGGGGAGTCCATTTTGGGTGTGGTTCCATCTGATTAAGAGCACTCTTGCTGTCTCACCTGGATAGCAAAGTACCCATTTGTAGGGGTCAGAAGGGCAGTGTAAGACCGACTGGAGCCCACCGTGGAGAGATGCGTCACTGGGGCTCTCTCTTAACTCAAATTCTGCACGTGGCATGTGGCCATCCTTGTGGGCTCATTGTTGGTGCCTGAGGTTCCTTGAAGGTGGTATCAGGATTTCAAGGTCACCTCCTGGACACAGCATGGATAGAAAGGGGCAGGGTTCATGCCCTGGAGGTGGAAAGGCAAGCAGCTTGTTTCTGAGAAGCAGTGTGGCCTGGGCGGGGGGTGTCATGACACCAATGGCCCCACATGGTGTCTCCAGTTAACCTACCGTGAGCACCAATGCCTCCCCACCCTACCCAGGATGTCAGAAACCTAAGGCCACGGAGAAACTTCCCAGCAATCTTTCTTTAGAACAGAAGGTGGCCTGAGTTAAACATCAGTGCCAGCGCTTCTTGGGTGGAGATGAGAAGGGGGCTGTGCAAGCTCAGCCCAGAAGGGACAAGCATCTGGGGCCACATTTTTACAATAGCCCCCTGGGCTCTTGCATCAAGAGCCTCGACAATTGCCACAGGGCATCCAGCAAGTCTCCGTGATATGGATGAGCCCTCCCTCCCACAAGCAGAACTCAGAGTGGTGGGGGCAGGGACACAAGAGACAGAAAAGAGTCCATGTAACTAGAACCCCCAAAACAAGATGCTCCACATTGCCAAGGGGGGAATATGTGAGCAGAGTGGTAGTGCCTGGACAATCTCTTCCCTTGAGCCTCCTCTGTCATGCAGGAAACTCATTGAAGGCAAAGAGCAGCCAAGGAGATTGTCCCCAGACCAAAGAGAGGACAGATGAGTGGGGGTCACCAGGGGTCTTGAGTCCTCAGGGCCTACATGGTCAGGACTCCCAGTCTACCCTCCCCCTGTGTGGACGCATCATCTTGGGTAGTAGTCATCGGGGACCCCCGTGAGGTTCCGCCCTTTGAGGGCCGCGTCCACCATCTTGATGTAGGCAGAGATGGTCTTCTGCATGTCTGCAGTATACGGGTCATACTCGAGCTTCCGGAGCCCCGAGCGCTTGAAGTTACCATCCTTCTGGCTCTCCACACAGAGCAACCGGTCCTCCCTGACAGCCACGCCCAGCAGGTTGACCATCCGGCCCAGCTGGATGAAGAGGTCCTGCTTCAGGTCCTCAAAGTGAACCACCAGCACTTTCTTGCCGAACTTGAGCCAGTCCAGTGTGTGAGTGGCCCACCATGGGGCATAGTTCCTCACGAACTCTGGCCACTCTGCAGAGAGAGGAGAGAGGACACAGTCAGAGGGAGGAGGAGTTCAAAAGATCCAGTCAGATGGTGCTGGCAGTGGTTACTGTTATTCACAGCACAACACAGTAACACAATTAACAATTAAGTGTAATAACACAGGCTGGGTGAGATGGCTCACACCTATAATCCCAGCACTTTGGGAGGCCAAGGCTGGAAGATGGCTTGAGGCCAGGAGTTAAAGACCAGTCTGGGCAACATAGCAAAACCCTGTGTCTACAAAAAAAATAAAATAAAATAGCTGGGCATGGTGGTGCATGCCTGTAGTCCTTGTTACTCAGGAGGCTGAGGTGGGAGGATTGTTTGAGCCCAGGAGGTCGAGGCTGCAGTGAGCTATGATGATGCCATGGCACTTCAGCCTGGGTGACAGAGCAAGACCCTGCCTCTAAAAAACAAAAAGAATAACAACTTAGCTCAATTCACTCCTTTTAGAGCTCTAAACACACCCCGATACTTCTCACCTCAATGCTGTTTCTCTCTGGAATATTCTTGGCCACCACCTTCTCTTTGGGGATAACAATGTTACTTGTTTGGTGATTACTATATGCCAGGCAAACCCTATATATAAGTATGTGTTACTATAATATAACATACAGCATATTATTATGTTATATATTATTTATGTTAATACATATTAATTGTATATTTTAGATGACATACTTGTATATTAATAAATATATTAATATAGCTCTTAATTCCACTTAATCTTCACAACAACCTTATGAGGTATCATCATTAGCTCCATTTAACAGAAGAGAAAACTGAGGCACAGAGAGGTTAAGTAATTTGCTCAAGGTCATATAGCTAATAACTGGCAGAGCCAGGATTTGAACCCAAGCAGTCTGGCTTCAAAGTCTTGGCTTTTAAGTACCAAGTTTTTCTGTGTAGTAGTGGTATCTCCTCACAGGATAATAATAGGGTTGTTGTACAAAGTAGAAAAAAACATATAAAGTTTCTAGCATGGTGTGTTGGGTTCAGCAGGTGATCAATAAATGTTGGCTATTGTTATTACTGATATTGTTCTGTTTTCAGGTCATCTTCTCAGACTCCCTGGGCTCAGGCGGGTGCTTCCTCTGGGTTCCGCAGTTCCCCTCTCCATTCCCCGCAGCCCCCCACAGCACTCATTATGCTTTGCAGAAATCCCCCACTTCTGTAGTCTGTCTCCCCACCAGACGGTAAGCTATCTGAGGGCAGGGTTTAAGTGGGACTATTTTTATCATCATCTTCACACATTTCTGTCCTACCTTTCTTTATTCTTCAGGGAAGTGTCGTGGTGAAATGAGAGGATGGATTGTCATGCAAACTGGGAGGGGGCATTTCTGACTTGAAAGACAGGTTACAGAGAACCTGGGAATTCCATGGGGAGAGGCAGTCAGCTCCTGGAGCTGCTGAAACTCCCACGAAGGAGGAGCTGAGGAAAGTGCAGAAAGGGGACCTGGAGGGTGTTGGGAACAGAGAAAAGGAATCACAGCCTCACTTCTGAGCCCCAGCTGGAGAATCAGAGGGCAGGAGCTCCAAAACCATGAACAGAGACCTGCTGCTTCTCACAAGGCGAAACACTACCCAGTGCCCGCCAGAGCAGGCAACAGGAGAATTCTGTTTATTGAACGAGGGTGGTGAGTTCCCCAGGCTGCACTGGGGAGCCCAGCTGGCTCTTAAAAATGAAGTCCTAATCCCTTGCTGGGTGATGGATACCCATTATCTTATTTAATCCTGCTGACTACCCTGAAAGGAAAAGGACTACTGTCCGCTCCTCACCAGGGAGGAAACTGAGGCTCAGAGAGGTGAAGTGACTTGCTCATGGTCACACAGACAGGAAGCACCATCCAGATCAGGCCTGCCTGGTTCCAGGAGGGATCTTTCCCAGGCACCAGCAGCCTCAGCCCCACTTCTTCCCACTGCCTGTACTCAGCAGGTGCTCAGTGAACGGTTGTTGAACTAAATTGAAACTCGCGACTGCCAAATTGCAGTGTGGCGAAGGCCTCCCTTTCTTTGCAGAACACATCAGAATCTGTGGCAAGAGTCCTTCCCCACCAAGTCCCCCAGAACATCATTGCTGCTTGGGAGATATTTATGCTGCTGACAAGGATATTTTTTATCCTTAAAATAGATTATTTACAATGTATCTGGCTAATTGGGCCCGTACTGTTATAATGAGCTAAGACCAGATGTATCTGAGTGATTAGGAAAAATCTAGCATGTTGTATGCCCTGTTTTCCTTGTTCAGAATTTCCCCACTCCTGCATCACCTCACAGCATCGCTGGTGATTCGGAATAGCTGCTACTCTCAGGGAAGACACCCAGGTGATAGAGACGGTGCTCGTCACCCAGCACCCAGCAACAACACAGATCCAAACTTCTAGGCTTGGCCACCTCTCACCATCTCAAGTGGTTGCTGAAAGAGGGCTGCAGCATGGCTCAAGAAAAAGGAAGGAGTTTCTCAGGTAGCTCCAGGTGTCCTAGTCATGGATGCAGGTGGGATGGAGATGACAGTGTGTCCTTGTTGACTGCAAGCCTCTGTGGGACACCAGCCGCCTCCGTCTGAGGGGCAGGAAGGGAATGTATGTTGCCTGAGCATCTGTTGGCGTCGGGAGCTATGTGGGGCACTCTGCATGCATGATCTCATTCCGTGCTCTGAAGTAGCCTAGAGAGTAGGAATTCTTAATACTGGCTCCATTTTAGACACAGAGAAGAGGAGTCTCAGAAGCAGGAAGTAACTTGCCCAAGTCCACACAGTGGGCATTGAAGGCAGAGTTCCAACCTACACCTATCCCAGACTGAGCCTAATGGAAAACAGTATGGAGATTACTCAAAGAACAAAAAATAGACGTACCATTCAATTCAGCAATCCCACTACTGGGTCTCTACCCAAAGAGAAAGAAATCATTACATAAAAAGACACCTGCACACATGTTTAGTGCAGCATTATTCATAACAGCAAAGGTATGGAATCGACCTCAGTGTCCATCAGTGGAGGACTGGATAAAGAAAATGTGGTACATATACATGCACGTGCATACGTATATAAAATGTTTATTTTATACATTTACATATATTAAGAAACCTGCACTTGTACATCCTAAACATATAAAAATAAATAAATTTTTAAAAAGAAAAATAGAGCACCTGGTCTGATCAGCTCCTGCCCTCTTTTCACTCCAGGACCTGGGAAGCATGACTTCTAGGCTGCCTACTGCTCACTTCACCTTCAGACTGTTGTCTGAGACCTGGGGTTTGTTCATAGATGACTCTGCAGTCAGACTGCCAGGGTTTAGAACCCAGCTCCTCCCCACACGAGCTAAGTGACTTTGGAGACGTTACTCGATCTTCAGCCTCAGTGTACCCATCTGCCAAGCGGTGATCTGGATAAGACCCACCTCCTACAGATGCTGTACAAATCGAGCGAAATAAGATTTGCAAAGATCGCCGGGCGCGGTGGCTCATGCCTGTAATCCCAGCACTTTGGGAGGCCGAGACAGGTGGATCACAAGGTCAGGAGATAGAGACCATCCTGACTAACACAGTGAAACCCCGTCTCTATTAAAAATACAAAAAAATTAGCCGGGCGTGGTGGCGGGGGCCTGTAGTCCCAGCTACTGGGGAGGCTGAGGCAGGAGAATGGTGTGAATCTGGGAGGCGGAGCTTGCAGTGAGCTGAGATCGCGCCACTGCACTCCAGCCGGGGCACACTACAGCCTGGGCAACAGAGCGAGACTCCACCTCAAAAAAAAAAAAAAAAAAGATTTGCAAAGATCCTGATACAGCGCCTGGGACAAGCAAGGTGCTCAATAAATATTGGTTAGTTTTATGATTATCACGATGCTATTCATCCTCCTGTATCTCCTGACTCCCCACATGCTCCATCATTTAGTCCAAACATCCCTCCAAAAGCACAATAGATATCCAAGCTATTTCAGCAGCAGATGTTTGTCCACCTGGCCACCTCCTATGGCAATGCTTCCTCTCTTGAAACTCAATTTACTTCGTTGGAAAGAAGAAGAAGAAAAATTAAAAACCAAAGTCCTCATTTAACTCAGGATTCCTGATCATTGATTGCTGTCTGCAAATTGGGCAATAAAGCCATGGAACATTGGTAATGAGTGCTGGTTCCACCGGAACTGTCATACAGGTGTGCCTGGCAGGGCACGGGCTGGCCAGCCTCCCCTCCACCTTCTTGTTGATGGAAAGAACTGGGGCCTGATTAATAGCTTAACTGTACTTAATTCCCCATGGAATCATTAAACACAGTATCTGTTTCATTAAACAGATCCAGGACAATTCACCTTGTATAATCATATCACATAAAATTTTGCTCTGAACTCACTCTAGGGAGATTGTAAAATTAACTCTACGGAACCCAAAGCAGAGCGGGGTTGGTGGTTCTAGGAGTCTGGACTGAGCGGTAATTGCGAGGGGGGCAAGGGCATGGTGGGGTGAACACACTCAAAAGCTAGGTGACCTTGGCTCTTACAGGGTGACCTTCACATACTTTGTCACTAAGGGCATCCAAAAGCAGCAGTTCTCAAACCTTAAAGTGCACATGAAGTGTCTGGAGAAGTCTTGTTAAAATGCAGATTCTGATCCAGGAAGACTGGGATAGGGCCTGACATTTGCTTGCCTAAAAATCTCCCAGATGATGTCCATGTCACTGGTCCACAGGCCACATTTTGAGCAGCAGAGGCTTATAGCAATGGTTCTTAAATTAGGGTGCTCATCGGTATCACCTGGAGGGTTTGTTAAAACACAGATTGCGGCCGGGCACGGTGGCTCATGCCTGTAATCCCAGCATTTTGGGAGGCCGAGGTGGGTGGATCACGAGGTCAGGAGATGGAGACCATCCTGCCTAACACGGTAAAACCCTGTCTCTACTAAAAAAAAAAAAATTAGCTGGGCATGGTGGCGGGCGCCTGTAGTCCCAGCTACTTGGGAGGCTGAGGCAGGAGAATGGCGTGAACCCGGGAGGCGGAGCTTGCAGTGAACTGAGATCGCACCACTGCACTCCAGCCTGGATGACAGAGCGGGACTCTGTCTCAAAACAGACACACACACACACACACACACACACATACACACACACACACACACACAGATATTGCTGGAGCCCCACTCCCAGAACTTCTGATTCAGCGGGTTTTACGATGGGGCCTAAAAATGAGCATTTCCAACAAGCTCCCAAGGGAGGCTGATGCTACTGATTTAGGACCTTAAAGCAAGGGTCTCAAACTCAAGTGTCTCCAGAGGCCAGATGGTGAATGCAAAGGGGAAGAATGGGCTGAGTGGAGACTGGGGGTTCTGTTCTTTAAGGAAGGCTCTCTGCCACAGCCCTTGCATACCTGGGTCAGGCCTCGGAGGGGGCACTTGGAGAAGATCCCTTCTCCCATCTCAGACTCATGTAGGACCCTGGGCTCCCAATATGAGAGGAGGGTGGTGGATCCCCCTATCCCATACTCCCTGCAGCCTCTCCATTCAGCCTGTTCCGACTCCTTCCTTAGTGTTGGTTTAGAGCTCCCAGCTGTCTTGAATAAGGAAAAAGATAAGAGATGGATGGCTCTTGGGAATTCGGAGACTTGTCTGAACCTAAGATAGGGTTGAGGTTCCTCTTCCAGAATATCTGAATGTACCAAAGGGTCAGCAACGTCGTAGGCAGTAGAGCCTGGTGGTTAATGTCTTGGTTTGAATCTCAGCTTAGTCAGTACCTACGGTCTTAGCCAAGAGACTTCTCCCTTCCTGGGATGGCTCTCTCACTTGTAAAGTGGGGTGTACTGATGGTCACTGCCTTTCTTACCCCCTGTGGTCCCTAGAGAGCTTAGATGGGATATCAAATGTCAAGTGCCCACAAGAGCTTCCCAGGTAAGCCCCTTTTCTGTTCACTTGGGACAGCAGGGTGCCTGGGAGGTGGGAGAACTAGGTCCTAGGGCTAGACCAACCTTGGTGGTCTCTGCTTCTCTCTGGCCTCAGTTTCCCCACTACTCAATAGGAATCAGTGGTTCTCAGCCCTCCATGCACATTAGAAGCAGCTGGGGAACTTTAAAAATATTCACACAATGTGGGAGTGGGGTGGGGACAACACACATTGGGGCCTGTCAGTGGTGGGGAGGGAGAGCATCAGGAAGAATAGCGAATGCATGCTGGGCCTAACATCTAGGGGATGGGTTGATCTGTGCAGCAAACCACCATGGCACACGTTTACCTATGTAACTAAACTGTACATCCTGCAAACATAACTCAGAACCTAAAATAAAAGTTGAAAAAAATATATTGACGTCCAGGCTCCAACCAGTAATAGTCCAGGGTGCAGCCTAGGCACTGGGGTTTTCCCGCTCTCCTCCAGGGACTCTAAGGAGCAACCAGCACAGAGGCCCACTGAGCTCACTGATCTCCCAGGTCTTTTCCAGCTTTGACAAGCAGAGTCTGTGCTACTACCATTTGCACATATGGATATCTCAGCCTGGCGACCAGTGTTTGCTTTTGATTGATTGTTCTACCAACAAATGATTCAGAGGCCTCTCTACCCCTGGGAATGACTGGACAAATGTCACCACCTATCCAAGCTTCCACCCCCTCACTGAGAAGAGGAGTGAGGCAGAGGGAGGAACAGACAAACCGCCTTGAGTGAATTGGGACCCAAGGGGCAGGCCCAAGGGTTTTAACGAGCAAAGTCAGTGTTGAGGGTGTTACCGGTGGATTGCTGAGTTACATCATCCTGCCCTGCTCTGTTCCTCTCTGGGGAGGGGCTGGAGTACTGGAGCAGCCTGGTTCTTGGAGGCTGGATGAGCTGGGGACAACTCACATTTGCAGAGCGCCTGCTGTGTGTCGGGGGCTCTGGACTGGGTGATTCATAGCCACCAATGGTTCATCTAATCCATTATCACAGTGCAGTGCTGAAGAACGTGGGCTCTGGAGCAAGATTCCCTGGGTTCAAATCCCAGCTCTACCACTTTATGGAAAAACTCCTCCCAACCCCAGCTTTATTACGGTCTAATTAATATACATAATACTGCACAGAATATATACAATTTAGCAACTTTGGTTATGTGGATACACTCATGTTACCATCACCATAATCCGTCTAATATATATTTCCATCACTTCTGGAAGTTTCCTTTAGTCTATTTTCTTTGTTCATTTTTGTGTATAGTAAAAAACACTTAACAAGAGATCTACTCTCTTAACCAAAATCTTAAGTAAAGAATACCTTCTTGTTAACTAAAGGCACTATGTTGTATAGCAGAACGGTGGAACTTACATCTTGTATAACCATAACTTCATACTCATTGAACAACAACCCCCTATATCCCCCTTACCCTGGAAAAGCTCCTTAACCTCCCTGAACCTAGGTTATCCCATCTATAAAATGGGGACAATTATGGCGGGGATTTAAGAAGTTAGCCTTTTCCAAAGCCCTCAGTAGATGTGACTTTCGTTATGGTGGTGGACATCATCCTATAATGGATATAGGACTTTGAGGCTGAGAAGGGTTAAGAATACTCAAGATGGCAGAAGTTGGGTCTGACTTCAAAGCTCTGGCTACTGCTCTGGGTGGCTGCTCTGCATTGAAATGTTGATCCACACAGCCCTCTGTCACCTAGTAAGTGCCAGAACTGAGTCTCAAACCCGGGTCATCTTAGTAAGTTCCATGCTTAGGGCTCTACACTGTCATTTCCCAGCTGTGTGATGTGGGGCAAGTCACTTAACCTCTCTGAGTCTCGCCACCCAGAGTTGGGAGTGTTCATTGAAATGATGCCCTGTACCTGTGCTCCTAGGACCTCGTGGCAATACAGCCACTGACCTGGGGCTGGATTCAGGTCTCCTGACTTCCAGGGTGGGGCTCTTTAACCTGTTTCCATCAATCCCACATCAATATCATGAGCATCTCCAACACCATGAAAGTCACACCTACTGAGTGTTTGTAAAATTATTAAAGCCTCACTGTTTTATAATCTTCACTTTATAGATGGGGCCATCTAAGTTCAGGGAGGTTAATGAGCCCTTCTGGGAGGTGGTAGAGCTGAGATCTGAACCCAAAGTCTTTCTCCTGAGCCCATGATTTTAATCCCCTGTGCCATGCAGCATCCTGGCTCACAGAAGGTGATGCTTGTGGGTGGTGGGGTGTTGTGGGAGGCACCTACTCTACTGGAAGCAGGGACTGGAGCATGACACGTGCCCTCCAGGATGCCCTCCGGGGTTTCTCGCATGAGGCATCCTCTCCTGCTGGCCATGCTGGTCCGGAGCGCCGGACCTTCCCACCGCCCCCTGCAGCCCGGGGCCCCTCCCCGCCCCCTCCTCTCCCCTCCCCTCCCCTCCTCTCCCCTCCCAAACGGTACCTTTGCCCTTCCAGTGGGCATGCGCAGCAAAGCCTATGTGGCCGCCGTACTTGCGGTTGAACTCAGCCATGAGGGCCTTGTAGGGGTTGCGGATGAGCAGGATGGCGGCGTCGAAAGCCTCGATCTCTTTCTGGCCGCTTTCGTGCGTCTTGATGCAAATGGTCCGTCCGCTGCGCCAGTGGTCCCGCTCACCTTTAAACCCTTCCCGCAGCCAGAGGTAAGGAACAGGACCGGTGAGCCGGGGAAGCAAGAAACCCACCCTACTCCCTTCTGGGCCACTTCAGGAATCCTCATGCATTTGTTCACTCAGTCGTTCGCATATTTATCGAGCACCTACTATGTGCCAGGCACTGTGTTAGGACCCCGGGATTAAAATGACTTACAAAAACATTCACGGGTCTTCAAAAATATTCACGAGTCTTCCTGTTTTTGAGAGTTAGATTGTTCCACAAATAAGTGTAAAACCACTGCCCTGGTGAGTGTTACAAAAGGGGAGTATTAATGCTTGGGTGCTGGCTAGGCACAGTGACTCATGCCTGCAATCCCAGCACTTTGGGAGGCCAAGGTGGGAGGACAGTATGCTCACAGGAGTTCGAAACCAGCCTGGGCAACATAGTGAGACGCCATTCTCTACAATAAAAATTAAAAAAAAAAATTAGCCAGGCATGGTGGCGTGCACCTGTAGTCCAAGCCACTTGGGGGACTGAGGCGGGAGGACTGCTTGAACTAGAAGGTTGAGGCTGCAGTGAGCGATGATCGTGCCACTGCACTCCAGCCTGGATGACAGAGTGAGACCCTGTCTCTTGACAAAAAAAAAGAAAAGAAGAGAAAAAGCTTGGGTGCTGTGAGAGGGGCCAGACAGTGATGTACTGGGTGATTCCTCTTTGTGGGGAGTCAGCGTCCCTACCCCACTGATGATGGGCATGGCCGTATGACTTCCTGTGGCCCACAGAATGAGGGTGAAAGTAGGTTTTTTCAGCACAGTCTCAAGATACATCATATGTTTCTGCTTACTTTCCATGAGGCAGCTCTGCTATCACCATGAAAGGACATACCCTGGGGGTGAGGGGTGGGGGATTGGTCCCAGATGATGACAGATACATAGAATAGACATGGTCCCAACCTGCCCCCTGGGGATGGGCAGCCCAGTTAGCTCAACCAAAATCATTGACCTAGTCAAGAGGCATACAAAAAGGTTTCCTGGGGGAAGAGATGCGTAAGTATAGAACTGAAAAATGAGGAGAAACTTACCAGCTCAAGAGAGCTGGGAAGGGAGGGCCAGGGGCTGAGAAAAGCAGGTGCAAAGGGCCTGTGGTGGTTGGGAAGAAATCTGTCACATACGAGTGACTGCAGAGGGAATGCAGGTAGCAAGAGGGGAGCATGGGGCTGGAGAGCGTTATGGGGTCTGTGATGAAGAGGCCAGCACTAGACCAGAAAGACTGGGGAACCCTTAAGAGGATTTAAGCAAAAAGGAGGGGCATGATCAGGTTTTCCTTACAAAAGCTGAGGAGCTGAGAGAAGTTCTGTGCAGCTGGAGACTAGTCTAAGCCCTTTACATATACTAAGCAATTCAATCCTCTCAACAATTCTACAAGGAATTTTACAGATGAGGTAACTGAGGCAGAGATGTCCAATAACTCGCCCAAGTTACAGAGCTATGGAAGAGGCGGAACCAAGATATAAACCTGGGCCATCCAGGCTCCCGGCACACATGTGTCCTTCGCCCTCTAAGTGCCCCTTAGCTCATGCAAGCTAAGGCATTTGGATACGATATTAAGGCCAGGTAGAAATGTTATTGTACTAGACCTTCAAGATACTGGCTGTGTTTGCAACCCAATGAGTCATTCTGAATATCATATCACCTCTCTGGGCCTCAGTTTTCCTCATCTGTAAAATGGGTCCATGCACTTTCTCACTCACAGGGCCATTGTGAGAAATTGATGAGGCCCACAGTAACACTTCAATACATGGCAGCTAATGCAGAATAAGACTTAGGGTGAAATCATGGACTGAGAAGTCGCCTCGTATCATCAAACCTTGGAGTATCGTTTCTTCCCTCCCTGTTGTGCTCTGGCTTTTAAGATGGATGGAGGTGAAGACTGGCTTGATATCTGCTCCTGTTCCTGGAGACCAGGGTCCAGAGAGGTGCAGCCTCTCACACGTGGCCACTAAGCAGAAGAGCCAAGAATGGAATGTGATTTTTTCAATCAGGTTCCATTCTGGGACTTGCTAAGTTAAGTTGCCTGGGATAAGCCTAGCCTTGCAAATTAGCACTGGCCCATGCCCATGAGAAAATATTAACCCACAGCCTTTGCGGTCGATGGGAAGCACAGTGTCATGGAAAAAATCTCCTCCAGAGGAGAATGAGGAATAGGATGTAGGGGCTTGAGAGAGAGAGCTTTGGACATAAACATTTATGCAAGGCAACGCTGGATATAATTTCATGTCATGTGTTCTGGTAGAGCTCTACATGACATGGACAAAGGGCTTTCCATCCATGGTTTCATTTTATCTTTACGAAAGTCTATTTCACTACGAGCACAGCAATGGAAAACACAGGCAGGAGGTAGGTATACCAGAACTCACACAGATTCTCAATGAGGAAAAATAAATTGCCAGAAACATGAAAGGATGGTCAAACTATTTTCAATCAGCTCCATGCATTGGGATACTCAAGTTACAACATTTCTATTTGTTCATGATGGGGTCAACTTAGCACAGTATTTATCAAGATTAAAAACAAAAACAAAAAACCTAGAAAAGCTATAAAGATTGGGAAAGATCTGTTTCATATTCCAGATTCTGGTTGCCTGAGGAGTTTATCTATAGGAGTATTGCAAATGTAGAGAAAATTCCATTTAGCAGAATATCTCCCAGAGAGGGAAGAGTACTATGTCTGGAAAGGAACTTTTGAGAAGGCACATAGAATAGGTTTGCCTGAAGAACAACAGATAGTTGCTCAATTGTCTTCTAAAGAGGGCCTGTCTAGGTAACTGCAAGGGAATAATGGATGCAAGCTTTGAGCCAGAGCGGAATTGCTGAACTCCACCACAAGGGTGTCTCCCTCTGCACTCTCCTTGACATCCAGGATCCAGCATCTCCATGACATAAACATGATGTATTTAAATCCTATCTTTTAAGAGTCACCAAAATATCAGCTTATTTTGGGCACCCATGTGACCCTCAAACTCTAAGGAGCTGCCCAACTGTCCCAGGATTTGGAGAAACAACCTTGTTTAGGGTCACAGAGAGAACAAGACATGTTTTTCCCGTCTGTCTTCCAAACCTCTGTTACTATCGTTGCTTGTGCATTTTTCAGTTAGGGGAGCTAAGATACAGAGAAGGGAAGTGGCAGAGACTGCACATCTCTGCATGCCCTAGAGTTTACTGGGACTGGAAAGTCTCATCTTGGCTCCAGGCATGGACACCCCTGAAGGCTGGTGGTTCTCCAGGACAGTGGTATTTGCTTTGAGGACAAGGAAATCCTCAGAAATTGTTGTCCTGCATCAGCTGGGCTGAGAGGCTGCCAACTCTGTGGGTTGATGTACCAGTCTGAGAACATCATCCTGCCCTTCCCTCTTATGTCTTCCCTCCTTCAGAAGTCAGGGCTCTGGCTCCTCACATACCACAAAGCTTGAGCCTGCATTAAGGCAATGAGGTCTCTGATATGGGGAGAGGTAGGGAGAGGGGGGGGGATAAAGCCTAGGGAAAGGGGAACAGTAAGAGAGAAAGACACAGTTACCTGGAGAGAGGGAGGGACTAAGACAAAGTGAGGGAGAAGGCAGGAGTTGGGGGAGATAAATAGACACAGAAATAAAATGAGACAGGAACAGATAAGGGGAGATGGATACCTAGAGAGAGAACAACAGAGAGAGAGACACGAAGAGAGAAGGACAGAGAGGCAGAGGCACATACTGGGCAGAGGTAGACATGCAGAGAAAGGATGTGAGAGAGAGAGACAGAGAGAGAGAGAGAGAGAGAGAGAGAGAGAGAGCGAGCGCCAGATGGCAGATGGACACAGAGACAGAGAAAACCATGCTTTGCAAATGGCAGTTGCACCCAGTGAGGGAAAGGGAAGAAAGACCTAAGTGGGACAGACACTTGGATTCTGGGAGGGAAAGGTCCCTACACTTCTTCACTCATTCACTCATTCATTCCCTCCCTCCCTCCCTCACCAGCTCATTGGTGAAGTGGAACCTTTGCCAGACTGAGGGAAGAGCAGGTTGCAGAAAAGTGCAGGAAAGAGAGAAAATGTTGGGCAGCCCATCAGGCCTAGGAGGGTCCTGGGAGAGCACCGTCTGACACATGCTTCTTACAGAGGAGGAAACTGAGGTCTTGAGGGACAGGGAAACGTGCGTCCAGCCATTCAGCAAGTTGATAGCAGAAGAAAAGAAACTCTAAAGGACTTAGATAAATCAGCAAGAGTTGCTGGGGGATCAGCTCATTGTACAGATGCTACCCTTCCAGACCTACCCACCGAGGCCCCCAAGTTACTGTCTTCTCTTCTAATCAGTGACCTCCTAAATGTCCCACCCACTTCCCCTTTGCCCCAGCACTGTCACTCCCTGGATAACCCTGCAGCCTGATAAATACCTCCCAGTCCAAACCTGTGGCCAGAAGACTATTTCCAACACACCAGTCTCAGCACATCACGTCTCTGCTGAAAACCCCACAATATCCCACCCCATTCCCATTCCCATAGCCCTCACGACAATGGTCACAGCTCTCAGAAGGGCATTCTAGGTGCTTTGCCAAATCCTATTCTGGATGTTCCTTCTACCTTACACCCCAGCCCCACTACCTCCCTTTTCACCATCTAACAGCATGGAACTATTTTTATTCACCCATCACATTGTGCCACTCTCCTCCTTGTCTCTGTGCATGCCATGGCCTCTGCCTGGGACACCCTCTTTTCCCTCCTTCTAAGTAAGTCCTATCCATCTTCTGCACGCATACCTCAAGACTGAGTTAGAAAAAATATAAAGTGCCCGTCACAGTGCTGGGCCCATTGTAGATATTAAATAAGGGCCCACGATGATTAGAATTATTAACAGCGATGTGAATATATTCATAATAATAGGGCTATGATGAATGAATGTCTGGGGTACAAGAAGGGTAAAGGACGACCTGTTAAGTCTGCCAGAGACACAGCAATGGGGAATTTGACCTGCAGCCTCAGGAGATGGTTTCCAGGCCAAATAAGCAAGAAATAAGGGTGGGGGCGGTGGGGATTGACGTCCCAGAGATAGCACGTGCAAATCGCCAGTGCATTCTCGAACTACAAAGAGCTCATTATACCTGGGGTCTGAAAGGGGCTGCAGAACTTTGCCCCAGTGTGGCAAATGCAGCAAAGGATTTCATGAAGTTAAGCATCTTTCAGCTGCAAGGTGATGTGATGTGGGGAGAGACTGGGCAGGGTTAGCTAGATTGACTGATGGCTGTTGGGGGGCAAGCAGCTCTTCATTTTGTCTGCACCCCACTGCCAACTCCAAGCTCCTAGGGAGAGTTCAATGTTAACTGGAAGGGCTCAGGCTGCAGGAAGGATTTTAAAGCTCCTAATGAAAAGGCAACTACATTCAAAGCCTCAGCTGTCTGTGACCAGCCCACAACCCCCTGCCTGTCTCAGTACGAATGAAGGAAACATCCAGTAACTAGACACAGCTTGAGGCAGGGAATTGCCACCGGGGGGTTATGTTTTCTTCTTCTTCTTTTTTTTTAAATCAAGGTAAACTTTTAGTAGGTGTCTCACTCCATTAATGACCCATTAATATTGCCCACACTAAAGCATTAGCAAACACAGGGAGACAAATGAATTTTTGGAATGTTTTGGGTCTGGAAGTAAGAATGCTGGGTTCTTCGTCTAGGGCCAGGGGTCTTGGCTCTGGTTTTGCAGTGGAATCCCCTGGGAGCTTATAGAAAACACCCATGCCTGGGCCCACTCCTGAGAGTCTGATGGAAATGGTCTGAGATGCAGCCTGGGTGTCAAGACTTTAAAAGCTCCCTGGGCAATGATAACGTGTAGTCAGAGACTAACTCCCTTTGCCTTTGAGTAAGTACATGACTGTCCTAGTTACATAGCGTTTAAAAAATGTCTGTTTTACACCACAGGCTCACACATATTATTTCACAAACATTATCTTGTTATATTTTTTGGAAAATCTCTGAGTTCAGTACTGACATCCCCCTATTACAGATTAGGAAATGAAAGCTCAGAGAAGTGAAGAGTTTTGCACAAGTTCTCATAGCTAATAAGTATCAGAATGAACTTTCAGACTGAAAATCAGATCTCCTGACTCTATCTTAAGATTCCATTTCTTCTTCTTCTCTGAAGTTAGGAGGTTGACTTAGATCAGATGGCAAAGACTTGGTGTATAGGCCACCATTCTCCATTCTCCACTTTCAACAGGCATCACTAATAGATTAAGGCACTTTGTTTCAGAGAGAGAATAGAACCTTTCTTAACACATCATCCTTAAGCAAAAATTCATTGGAATCAACACTAGATGAAACCAATTTTGGTCCCTGAACTAAATCATCCTGAGGGACCCCTTCTGTTTGTGACATTCTAGGATTGCATAAGCAGGGTTGCTGCCACAGCCAGGAGCATGAGAATGTTGGCTAGCCATGGCATCCTTTCTGAACCTGCATTCCACAGCCACTGCTCCAGGACAAGCCAGAGAGATTCTGGAATATCCCAGTGCTCTTCCCAGCAGCTCCCACAAAGGCAGCACAGCACAGGGGTTAAGATCATAGGGATGGCTGACAGCCAGCCCTGGGTTCAAATCCTGATATAAGCATGCAATACCCTCAGCATGGAGCTTCATATGTAATAGGTGCTTAATAAACAATCACTCAGGCCCAAACTGGAAATTAATAAATACATAAAAAGCTGGGATTCTTAAGCAGATTCCCCTGCCTGACCCGCTGCCAACTCCAACCATCAGCCTGTCCCTCTTCACCCTTTTTGCCTTTTCTTGCCCAGTCTCTGCCTCCCTCCTGTGTCTCGCCCTGAGAAAGACATGCCCCCTGGCTCTCCCTGAGCTAGGGTTTGGGGATGACTCTTTATTGGCACCAAGCTGTGCCTGGCTAGTGGCTGGCACCCAGACAAGAGTACCCAGAGCCAACTTTTATTGACGACATTGAATGTGGCCCAACACAAATTCGTAAGCTTTCTTAAAACATTATTAGATTTTTTTGGTTATTTTTATCTTACTTTTAGCTCATCAGCTATCATTAGTGTCAGTGTATTTTATGTGTGATCCAAGACAATTTTTCTTCTTCCAGTGTGGCCCAGGGAAGACAAAAAATGGGACACCTCTGCTTTGAAACAACCTCATGAGGTATGTACTCTTATCTCTAATTTGTGCATGAGGACACAGGATCAGAGAGGTACAGTAAATTGCCTAAAGTCACACAGCCAGGAAATGGTCTTCAGCTGGTTTGCAGACACAAAGACCATGGCCAAGGGCTGCTCCACATGTAGATGCAAAGCCTCCCACAAGAGGAGGCCTTGCTTCCCTGATGTCTCCCACCATGCCCAGGAGAGGGCTTCATGCCCAAGGGGCATTTCATCCATGATTTCTTGTTCCTCAGTAAGAAACCCAGGAATTTCTCACCTGTATTATAGAGTAATAAAGATGTGGGCTTTGAAACTGGGAAATACTAGAATGCAATCCCCAATCAGCTTATTGATAAAACAAAAATAAAAACATTGTGTGACTTTGGGCAAGTTATTTCTCCTCTCCAAGCCTCAGTTTTCATTTCTGGGAAAGAACATCATCCTCCTACCTCACAAGGTTTCTATGCAGGGTTAAATAAGAATATGGCACCTGGCCACCTACTAGGTGCCGGGAGAACATCTTTGGCAATCTGAACCTACATGAGGCGCCTCACACACAGTTGGTGCTCCACAAATGCATGTTGGGACACCTAACTTAGGAAGTGTATCCAGAACATTCCAGTGCTCAGTAAACATCTGTGAATGGAATGAAAATAGAGCACCCTGCATAGTGAATATTGTCGACTTAAATCTGGAGAGGACACCTGGTGAATAGTAGGTGCTCAATAAATGTCCCCAAAGTGAACTTAGTTCTTGTACCTCTATTACATCAAAGAGTTGCTGCCGGAAATATCTGTAATGAGGTACCAGGGCACAGTAGGTGTTTAAGAAATGTTTGTGGTAACCTAAATGGAGGAAAGGTAGCAGGCATAGGATAGGTACTTGATAAATGTCAGTTATAGAATGGATGCTAGTGGAGTATCCAGGACGTGACTTAAGAAATGTCTGTGGGGCATAAAGGAAGTAGGGGGTACCAAGCATGCAGTGAGTCTCAATAAGTGTGCCTGGGAGAGTTGAGTGGCATGCAGTAGGTACTCAAGGAGGAGTATTCCCATATCCTCCAAGGGGGGACCTTCCCAAGCCCAGGGAACCTCCTGCCCTGCCCTCCCTGCCGTCTCCTCACCTTTGTTGTAGAGGGAGCCATCGAAGTAGTAGCTGCCAGTGTAGAAGCCCGTGGCCAGCTCAATGAGGTGGCGAGCCCATGTGTTGCCGGCACCTGGAAAGCTGGCCAAAGCAATGAGTTGCTTGGACTTGCCTGGCAGGAACCTTCTGTCCATGCAACGGTTGTCTGAAAAGGGCGGAGCATGGACAGAGGTCAAAACCAGGGGCAGATGGAGCCTGTCTGAAAGGGACCAGGGTATGAGCCCCACCCCTGCCACTTCTCAGCCAGGTGATCAAGGGCACAGGACACTTGCGTGGGTCATGGGAAAGCTTCGCTGGGCCTCAGTTTTCCCATCTGTAAAATGAGGGAGATGGTTCCTCCCTCGTAGGGTTCAGGTGAGTGTTAAATGGGATAATAATGGGAAGGGACAAGCACAGTGGTTAGCCCATAGTAGTGATCCAATAGAAGTCAGCTGGGAGGGTGAATCTTCTCTCCAGCCCCAGTTTACCCCCAGCAGAGCAAGTCTTTCCCATTCACCCGTACCCTTTCCTCCAGATTGAAACCGTCAATGGCATCCATTATGTATTTTCTGTTATTCTTGTATTTTGCGGACTCTGAAAAGCCAGAGAATCAGGAATATTCAAATGGTACTCACCACCTCCCAACCCATTTTGCAGATGAGGAAACTGAGGGCTAGAGAAAACTAATACATATGCCTTTTGAACATAGGATGCAGTCCAGGGTTCTTATCTTGGCCTCTAAGCCCAGATGGTTGGCCTTTGCAAACTCACAGGCTCATTCTAATCCACTCCACCACATGCCAGTCACCTGGTCTCTCCGTCCTTCCTCTCCTGTGTCTTGCTCCGTCCTGACATAGCGCCTTCGTGCATGCTGTTCCCTCTCCATTGCCTCCTACCTGCCTGCCTTTGCTTTTTGTTCTTCAGCTCTCAGTTGAATGGGTTCCTCTGTCTATCCGTCTGTCTTTCCTTCCTTCTTCCTTTCCTCTTTCCTTCCTCCCTTCCTCTCTCCCCTCTTTTCCTGACTCCCTGGGCTATCATTAGTGCATTACTACATCCATCTCCTTCATATTGTTGATCACAATTGCAGTTCAGATAATTATTCATGCAATTAGTCATGTGGTCAGAAACCCTGCCCGTATTGTGTTTTGCTGATTCATCAAAAGTTTCCACAATATCTGGTATACAGCAGGTACTTAATAACTGCTTCTTGATTGGATGGATGAATGGGTAGAATGATGACCGGGTGGATAACAATAATATCTATTAATATCTATTTTGTAGGGCTCTTGTAAGGATTGAATGAAACAAAGCATGTAATATGTTAATACTCTAAAGTGCTCAAAAGGCATAGGTATTATTTTTCTCTCGCCCTCAGGTTCCTCATCTGTAAAATGGGTTGGGAGGTGTTGAGTACCATTTGGCTATTTCTGATTCTCTGGCTTTTCAGAGCCTGCAGAATGCCATTACCATCAGAGTTAACAGAAAATGCAAGTCCCAGCACCTCCCACTGCAACCCCAGAGGGAGCTAAGAAAGCACAAGCTTTTCTTTTGGTTCCCTCAGTTGCAAAGGCATCTGAGGGAAGGCTCAGAGCAGGGGGCGCTGGAGCAGAAAGGAAGATGAGAGAATCCCAGATCCAGGCCTGGAGGCCCCAGGTCTCAGTGCTGCCTTCTTCAGCCCAGGACAGATGAACTCCACCCTTGTTTACCATCCAAGGCAAGGCAGGCAAACCTCCCTCACCTCCCATGGCACCTCACCTCCATCTCTCCCTGTTTTGGGGAAGTCACTCATCCCCTGCTCATGTGTGTGGACTCCATTCCCTCCTTCTTCAAGCTCCTTCCAACCCCAATATTTTTTCTCTCTCAATCACATTAGCACTCAAACAGGAACAAATAGCTCCATCATTTAGAAAGAGCCCCTTCCAGCGACCACCAGCTCCCCTTCACCCCATCACTGCCATATTGTCAGCAGAGTTGTCCATATTCCTTCACGTTTCCTCCCTTCCATCTACTCCTTGGCCCTTGCACTTGGCCTCTTCCCTGTTCACTGCCCCGAACCAGTTATGGGCAAGGTCTTCAGTGACTGCCCCATGCTCAATTCAACAGACAAGCTCATCTCACGTGATTACTCAGGCACAAGGGCAGATCACTCTGCCCTCCTATAGGTAATTCCTTCCCAAGATTTTACTGGTGTCTTTCCTGTTCTGCGCTAGCTGCTATTTGTTGAAGTCTTACTATGAGCCTCATTGATTTCACACAAAAGCCCTTTGAAGGAGAGGTGTGAAGTCCTAGATTTAAATTCCAGTTCTTCCATAGGAAAAAGATGATCTATCTGAGCCTCAGCTTGCTCACCTATAAAATGGGACTATTAAGCAGTGATGACAGCCTGAGGTTATTTAGGAGAATGAAATTCATGAATGAATGCCGTGTTAGAGTAAGACAAACGTGCTGGAAGTGCCGATAGAATAGATTGTGGTTCCTGGTATTGTTGCTGCTAGCTGGAGGTTCAGCTCTCTTCTCCCGCCTGTTTAATTTTTGTTCTGAGACTAATAGATTTAGGAGAAAATAAACCAAGGGACGTCTGTGGCAAAGCCAGGTAAGCTTCAGGGAATGGTTTTCATTGGAATATACTGCAAAAAGGAGCCCAGACACAGGAACTTTCTAGAATATGGTTATGTTTTATATTTTTATAGGGGAGTGGATTACCCAGTTGACATTAACTAGTACACTTAAAATATGTGCATTCCGCTCTATGGAAATGTTACTTCAGAAAAGCTAATATTGAATTATAACCAATGACAACATCCTGAAGTACAATGATGCTTGCAACTTACTTTGAAATGCACCAAAAATTAGGAAGGATTGAGGGATGGAGAAATGGAGAGATGGACAATAAAGTAAATATAGCAAAAGTTAACATACATCACAAAATTCTATGGAATAAGTATATAGGTGTTCACTGCATAAGCCTTGCAACTTTTCTGGAGGTTTGACTTTTTTGTTTTTCAGAATAAAATGTTGGGTTGATAGGTCGGGTGGGGCAGACCAGGCTCCTTAATTTCCCCGCAAAACAGAATTCTCTATTCAAATCCTTCCTGGGAGGCCAAGGCCAACCCCAAGGTAAAAGCTGTGGTTTTCAGTGCTATAAAGAAAGTTGATTTGGTTCCTAAGCCCTATAAATTAAGCAGCTGTTAGAGGCAATATTATATGCAGTTCTGGAATCAGACCAACCTGGGTTTCCATTCAGAACTGTCATGGCCTACCTGTGTGGCACTGAACAAGGCTTTCCACTCACTTAGCCTCAGTTTCCTCACCTATGAAACAGGGCTAATAAACCTTACACAATTATGTGGGATAATGACTGTGAATTTTTCACAATGTATTTTGAGAAGCTAGGGTTGAGAGTACAGTCTTGGGACCTAGATTTCCTGGGTTTGAATCCCTACACTGCCATGTCTGAATTGTTTGACTTTGGCCAAGTTACTCAGCCTCCCTGTGCCAAGTTGCCTCATTTGTAAAATGGTGAATAACAGTGCTTATGCAACTGGACTGTTTGGATGATTAGATGATTTAAGGCAGGTAAAAGATTTGACAGAGCCTGGCACAGAGCAAGTGTTCAATAATTATTTAGTTCCCATAGGGGGCATCAGGGCTTAGCACACAGTAGGTGCTCAATAAATGGCAGCCCTGGTGGGCCAGGCTCTTGGCAGGCTGATGAGCCACATAACTGTCAAACCTCCCCAGTGTGTAGAAACTGCAAGAGTGATGTGGAAAAATGGAAGCCCTAGTAATGGCCTGGGGGTAGGGCACTGGGAATGAGCAAACTCATCAATTAAGGAATCGTTATCTGCTATTGAAAAGGCGCCAGTGTCTGTTCTGGCCACCTCAAAGCCGTTCATGATCACAGGGTAATTAATCTGTGTATGACTTTCCCCTGCAGGCTAAGGCAGCACAGCTCTGCAAAGACTAACCAACATTTCCCCGAAAGCTAACAAAGACTCATCCTTCCCCTTCAGACTGTAAATAGGGCCAAGAGCCACATGCTCACTAGGCTTTCAGAAGGACTTTAGCTACCATAGAAACAGCCACAGCTGATCACCACTGTTACCCCATCAGTCAAACAGGGACAGGCTATTGGTGGGGCTGCCACTAGCTCGTACAGCACTTTTGTGCAAATCAGAAAAAGGTGCCCACTCCTTCCTCTGGACAGATGTTCTGCCATCCAGGGCACACAACATGTGGCTGGCTTTCAGACACCACTTTTTCTGTTGGCTGTGCCAGTGCAATGCTCAACCTGCTCAACCACATATGGCAGCTTGGTGACTGGGAAATGAGAAGGAAGAGGTCTAGTCCAGTGGTGTTTTCTTGGCTCTCCAGACTGTGGGGAGTGTCACTGGAGCATGGGCAAAGGTTTCCAGCAGGGGCTTTGGAGTCAGACACCTGGAAACAAATTGCTTTTGTAGATGTATAATTGTGGCCAGTTCCCAATCTCTCTGAATTTTAGTTCTGTCATCTGTAAAGTGGGGATGATACTGCCCTGATCATAGGTTTACTGTGGACTTCACATCACTAAATGAGATGAGGCTTGGCATAAGGACCAGTACATAGTAGATGGTCAATATATTCAGACATTGAGGTGATCCTTCAGGGGCTTCCTTTGGGCTGTGTGTCCTGGCGAGGGATGACCCCCAATCCCCACCCAAGTGCCACCCACCCTTCATGATACCTTGGTCAGGAGAAATGGGTTTTATTGGGAAAGTTTATAAACAGTATGACTTAAGGTAAGTTCCTCAACTGTTCTGAGTCTCAATCCCCTCCCCCGCCCCATAGTAAAGAGGGTATAATGACTGTTCCCAACTCATAGAGAGTTGAGGGGATTCAATGAAAACATGCATATGAAGGATGCAATACTGAGTCTGGCACAGAGGAAGACCTCAAGAAACTACAAGTGTTGCTGCCTCCTCCTCTTGCTCCTTCTCATCACCATCATCATCATCATCACTTTCATCATCACCATCATCAGCACTATCAGCATCACTCTTTTCACTATCATCACCATTATCATCATCACCATCATCATAATCATCACCACCATCATCATTATCATCACCATCACCATCATCATCATCACCATCACCATCATCATAATCATCACCATCACCATCATCATCATCATCATCACCATCATCATAATCATCACCATCAGTATCATCACCATCACCATCATAATCATCACCATCATTATCATCATCACCATCACCATCAGTATCATCATCATCGTCATAATCATCACCATCACCATCATCATAATCATCACCACCATCATAATTATCATCATCATAATCATCACCATCATTATCATCATCACTGTCACCATCATCATAATCATCACCATCACCATCATCATAATCATCACCATCAGTATCATCATCATCATAATCACCACCATCATCATCATCATCACCATCATCATAGTCATCACCACCATCATCATTATCATCACCATCACAACCATCATAATCATCACCACCATCATCATTATCATCACCACCATCATCATCATCATAATCATCACCATCACCATCATCATAATCACCATCAGTATAATCATCATCATAATCATCACAATCATTATCATCATCATCATCACCATCATCATCATCACCATCACCATCATCATAATTATCACCATCAGTATCATCATCATCATCACCATCATCATAATCATCACCATCATCATCATCACCACCATCACCATCATCATAATCATCACCATCATCATCATCATCATCATAATCATCACCACCACCATCATCATCATCACCATCACCATCATCATAATCATCACCATCATCATAATGATCACCATCAGTATCATCATCATCATCATCATCATAATCATCACCATCATTATCATCATCACCATCACCATCATCATAATCACCATCATCATCATCACCACATCACCATCATCATAATTATCACCATCAGTATCATCATCATCATCATCATAATCATCACCATCATTATCATCACCATCATCATCATAATCATCACCATCATTATCATCATCACCATCACCATCATCATAATCATCACCATCACCATCATCATCATCATCATCACCACCATCATGATCATCATGTCTGGTAGCCCCAAGAGACAGAAGAGGAGATAACAGTAAGTGTGGATTCCACTAGCAAAGGAAGAAGACTGCAAGTGGAAAGGATGAGTGAGACAGGGAGAGAGAAGAAGGAAGAATTTATATATAAATTGACAAAATCTTAGAATTGGAAGGAACATTGGAGGCTAACAGTCTACAGTTTCATTTTACAGATGGAAAAACTGCAGCCCAGAAAGGGGAAATGACTTGTCTAGGATAAAGCAGTGAATCTGTATTGCAGCTTGTGGGAGACTCAGTCTTTCTTCTCATTCGCTGTCACTACAGGAGCCACCAAGGGTCCTCAGTGATGAGGGATAGAGATGGGTCATCAGAACGCTCCCTACCCTGGGAATTCCTTCTGTTGCCCATCCAGGAACTCTAAGCCTGGTGGAGTTCATCATCGCTGCCCTCTGGCTTGCATGGTTTTCTCCTTGCTGCAGGCTGTGTGGGACGGACTGGCAGGGACACGTCTGGGAGGGAAGCCATTGGGAGTGTATCTGGGGTCCACTGGGGAAGGGCCTAGCTCACCTTGGACTTGTGTCTGGTACACAATGAAGTAACTAGGAGTTCCACAGCTCTCAAACTCCTCCGCGCTGCACTTCTGGGCACAGAGCTGCTCATCCTCTCTGTCATGGAGTGGGAATCGGGTGGTGGGAAATCCACAGTGGCAGGCGGTGCCTGCAAGAGCTGCCAGCGGGTACTCCTGGGGATGGAGTGGGAGAAGAAGAGGAAGAGAGTTGCTAAATCCCTGGACAGCTTCAGACTCCAAATGGAGAACAGGATTTGCATTCCAACCACTGCCTTCTCTGTCAGTCTCCCTCAACTTGAGGGTCCCCAAATTCCATCCACAAACCGTGCTTTTATGATTTTGCCCTATCTGTGCACCTACTGTACTATTGTTTACTTATTAGTTTCCTTTAAGTCGATTCACTTTTCGAAACTTAAATTTCAAAGGATACTTTGTATTGCTACCACCAATAGTACTTGTGGGCAAGTAGCACTTCCATACATCTCCATACTGTAAATGCACGTAATACAGAAACAAAACAAGTGATTAAATTCTACCTAGGCACTCTGGCCAACCAAGACTGTGAGCCTGGGATTGGCTCCATTTTTCCTGCAGAGAGAGTAGTTAAGGGGGAGAGGTGTTGACGCTTAAACACTGAGACAAAGCTTTCTCCTGGAAAGAGAACTGAAAAAGAAATCCCTTTCTCATGGTCATGCAATACACCACAGTAAATGCCCCCTTGGTGAGATGGTGAAATGAGACCCATGCTTTGGGAAAAGCTGTCTGAGTCTGCTCTTTTAAGCCAAAGGAGATACTGATACCCCTGTGTACCCAGAGTCTTTGTTGGGAGAGCTGCTTCTGATTGCTTTATTTGTTCTATTGAGCAGCGAAGTGGGGGCAAGATGGACCTGAGATCTGGTGGGCACGGGTTTGTCTTTTGCCCCATTTACTTATAAACTGGACCCACCACCCCTAGTTCTTTCTGGTAGCTGGCCCAGGAATAATCAATCTGGTAGCAAACCAGGGTCACACCTGTGTGGCTGGATCCAGCCAGCTTTGCCACAGTAGCTTTAGTTTCTTTCCTAGAAGATATTAAATAGGAACTGCGGCACCTAGCTGAAGAGCAGAAGTGCTGATATACCGGAGGGTCAGCTTGGGCCATGACTGATGACATTTTCTAAATAATGAGAATCCTTGAGCCTCCTCTGACACCCTAAACCTCAGACCCTCTATCACGACACAAGCAGTTCTGTATCCCTGTCCACTTGATCACCTTAGTTTCTTTCCTTTGCCCCCTAAGGAGATCAGAGAAAACAGGAAGAGGGAGGTTTGCAGGAGGACCTCTTGTTCCCACATACACACCCTCACTTCTCTCCAGTCCTGGGTACAGTCTGACACTTTGCTACGCTAGTTTGCCCCATGATTTCACTGTCATGTGCCTGTTTGTCCCCCCAACTCCAGGGGATCTGTAGGTTTCCCCAGGGCCCTCTGGAAGTGAGGGAATGCCATGTGGGTGGAGGGATTCCTGCTAAGGAGAGAGGTGGACCAAATGACAGCCAAGCCTCCTTTAATCTCACAAATGTCACCGCCCATCTTCTAGAATGCCTCTTAGGAGTACAGCAAGTCCTTAAGAAATGCTTGGTTATTTGAGGTAGGCTGGTCCCTCTTGAATAGCTGTGGGAAGCCTCTCTGGTGGGGTCACCAGGGTGGCTCAGAAGTTTAAGAGCTTGAATTTGGAGTCAGTCCCCAGTGTGAACTCCAGCTCTGCCACTCACTTCTGCTGAGAGCTTAGGCAAATGACTTCACCTGTCTGAAACTTGGTTTTCTCATTTGTGAAATGGGACTGAAAATGTCTAACTCATAGGGTTGGCCTGAGAAGTAAACCGTATGATCCACGGTGCAGAGGGCTGCATGGAGGATGTTCTCAGCAAGCAGCCACTATTGTGATGCTGCAGCCTTTTAGACTTCCAGAGAAACGCTTCATGCATTAGAAGCCCAATGAGAGAAATAGCCAAGCAGGATGACTCAGAGCAGATGGGGGCATCCAGGACTCAGGGTGTGGTCTGAGCACCCAGGAGGTGCCACAATGTAGATAAAGCGAATGCCTGCATCCTTGAGGATAGAGATTGTATCTTGTTACTTTGCATCTCCAGCACTAAGCAGGAGTACTGACATACAGTAGGGTCTTATTAAATATTTGAAGATTTGGTGTGATGGTGATATTAGGACCCATGCTTTGGGAAAAGCTTTCTGAATTTGTTCTTTTAAGCCAAAGGAGATACTGATACCTCTGTGTACTCAGAGTCTTTGTTGGGAGATGTGCTTCTGATTGCTTTAATTGTTCTATTGAACAGTTAAGTGGGGGCAGGATGGACCTGAGATCTGGTGGGCAAGGGTCTGTCTTTTGCCCAATTTGCTTCTAAACTTGACCCACCACCCCTAGTTCTCCCTGGTAGCTAGTCCAGGACTAATCTGGTAGCAAACCAGGGTCACGCCTGTGTGGCTGGATCCACTGAGTCTGAGAACACTCAGACAGCTTTTCCCAAAGCATGGGTCCCATATCACCATCACACTAAGGGGGCATTTACTGCAGTGTATTGCATGACCGTGAGAAAGGGATTTCTTTTTTCAGTTCTCTTTCAAGTCCTGCAGAAGAAAGCTTCTTCTTGGTGTTTGAGCATTTATACCTCTCTACCCTCAACTACTCTCTAGAATGCCCAACCATCTTTTGGTGGTGGAGGAGGTATGGTTCTCCTCTGGACACTTGAGTAATTAGCTCATTTTGAGAAAACGCCGGAGCTCCTTGGACATTGCTGAGTGCCAGTTATGTGCCCAGTTCTGTGCTGGGGATATTGAAGGGGGGCACAAAATGTACAAGGCATAGCCCCTACCCTCCAGGAGTTCACAGCCTGGCTAGGGAGGAAGTATAAACAGTCAGACATCTAGCACCTTAGGCCAAAAAAAGAACATCCAACCCAGGTGCTATCCAGTGCCCAAAGCTCTGGATGACACTGCTGCCTGGCCTCTGCTCGCACCCCTCCTCCAATGGGGAACTGCCTCTGCACTAAGGTGGGACTGTCCTCACCTTTACTTGGTAATTTTTTCATGCTTCTAAGCCAAGTTCAAATGTCACCCCCTGATATGGTTTGGCTGTGTCCCCACCCAAATCTCATCTTGAATTGTAGCTCCCATAATCCCCATGTGTCACGGGAAGGACCTGGTGGGAGGGAACTGAATCATGGGGGTGGGTTATTCCCATGTTGTTCTCATGATAGTGAATAAGTCTCATGAGATCTGATGTCTTTAAAAAGGGCAGTTCCCCTACACATGCTCTCTTGCCTGCTGCCATGTAAGACATGCCTTTGCTTTTCCTTTGCCTTCCACCATGATTGAGAGGCCTCCTTGCCACGTGAAACTGTGAGTCTATTAAACCCCCCTTTTTTTTAAATGAATTACCCAATCTGAGTTATTTCTTCATAGCAGTATAAAAATGGACTAATAACCCTCATTCCTAACTATTCCTCAGTATTTTTTTTTTTTTTGAGACGGAGTCTCGCTCTGTAGCCCAGGCTGGAGTGCAGTGGCCGGATCTCAGCTCACTGCAAGCTCCGCCTCCCGGGTTCACGCCATTCTCCGGCCTCAGCCTCCCGAGTAGCTGGGACTACAGGCGCCTGCCACCTCGCCCGGCTAGTTTTTTGTATTTCTTAGTAGAGACGGGGTTTCACCGTGTTAGCCAGGATGGTCTCGATCTCCTGACCTCGTGATCCGCCCGTCTTGGCCTCCCAAAGTGCTGGGATTACAGGCTTGAGCCACCGCGCCCGGCCTATTCCTCAGTATTAAAACTCACTTCCTCAAAGGCAGGAAAATCTATTCTGTGTAGCTCCAGTCCGTTAGATCCACGTGAAATGGTCACATCCCTCTCCCATGTCATAGATCCCAGTCAGCAACTGCATCTATCCCGACTGAGCTGTTGCTTCTCCTCTCCCATGTCATAGATCCCAGTCAGCGACTGCATCTATCCCGACTGAGCTGTTGCTTCTCCAGCCAAGCATGTGGTTCCTTCAGCTGTGCTGCACTGTCCCCCTCACCCAGAGTTCCGTGGGCCCCACCCTGTGCTCACCTTCTCAGTGCAGAAGTCCACGCACTTGTCCACGGACATGTTCAGCATGGCAGCTGTCACGGGTAAGGCCAGGGAAAGGTTGTCAGGCCTGCGGAAGCAGCCCCGGAACACTGCACTTCCATCTGAAGAACCAGAGAGAAGAGGACCAGTCAGATATACAAGGAGCCAGATCTGGTTGGGAAAACCACCTTCTGAAGAAAGCCCAGAGAAGGCAAGAGTCTTGCCCAAGGTCACAGAGCAAGCCAAAGCAGAGATGGAAAGAGTGGCTATGTTTTCTGTTCTTGAACATGTCTGTTCCTAGTCAATGAGCTCGATACATCAAAGAACGTTCTCCTCAACCCTGGCCCCTTTGTCAACAACCCAGGTCGCTGAGATGACATTCTTCCTGGGCCATGCTCTCCCACTTTCTTTGTCAGATTCCCATGCCTCACTTCCTCACTCCCAACCATGGCAGTGCCCCATTCGGGGAAATTATCAAGTGCACAGAGGATTTGTGTGATTTCATCAGGGCTGAGTGTTTGAGGACTGAGGGAAGCAAGGGGTCTGCAGCTGTCCTATCCTTACTCACTACTACTAGGGTTCTCCTCTCCCTTTTGTTGCCCTGGGCTTTAGGGGAAAAGTCCTGGGCCTCAGAAGTTCCTACCTACCCAGTACTGGGCACCAAAAAGCTGCAAGGGACTGACGTGTCAGAGGGAATCCCTTTAAGAAAATTTAACCCAGAAATAGTGCAGCTACACAATAAAAAATTTGGAGTCCATTGTCAAATCTTCAATAGAAGTCATCCCTTAAGAAAATATTCAGAAATGTTGTCTTAGGTTGGGGCTACTGAAGCAGAGCCTGAGACAAATGTTTCATTGAAGGTGTGCTCTCAGAGAAAGAAAGCGGGAGGCAGGACCAGACAGAGCTAAGTAAGGACGTGATCTCAGCTGGGTCCCATCTCCATCCTGGTCTCACAGCAGGGATCAGGAGGAGGCTCTGGATGAGAAATTGCACTATAGAGTTGGCCCCACCTTAAGGAAAGGGGGCTGGCTTGCCTTGGCCTTGTCCATCCTGGTCTCCAGTATCAGTTTTTGGCTGTGGGCTGTGCCCCAGGGTGGGGCATAACTTCCTGCGAGGGGCTGCTTGCTTCTGATAGGCCCAAGGCTATTTTTCAGAGAATGGGGCAGTCGTGAGCCACTGATTGCCACCAACAGTCACCACAGGAAAGGGGACTGGGGTGGGCGCCTATAGCATCCACTACAGATGTGCGCAAAGATTTATCAGTAAGGTTGTTCACTGCAGCATTTTAAAAATTAACAAGTGAAGGGGTAGAAACAACCTAGGTGTCCAACATGAGATAATTGGGCCAATAATGTCTGGAATGACAACACACAATGGAATTCTATTGAAGGTGGAATTCCATTGAAATAAATGGTATTAAAAGTTATTTTAGCCAGACGAAGATGTGTTTAAGATACAAAGTTAAATAAAAACTGAGAATGTAAAATCCTACATGTTATAAAATATCAATTTTATAAAAAATTAATCTCTAGAGAGACATATACCAATGTGTTAATAACTGTGATGTCCCTGGACAGTAGGTGTGAAGGATAAATTTTATATGTCAACTTAGCTAGGCCATGGTGCCCAGCTGTTTGGCGAAACATTGGTCTAGATGTTGCTATGAAGGTATTTTCTGTATGTGATTGACATCTACCATTAGTTGACCTTCAGTAGAGGAAATGATACTTGATAATGTGGGTGAGCCTCATCCAATCAGTTGAGGGTCTTAAAAGCAATCCTAAGGCTTCCTGGAGAAGAAGGAATTCCATCTCATGATGGCAACATTCACTGCTGGCTGAGTTTCCTGTGTGCTGGCCTGTCATATGAATTTCGGACTTGCCAGCTCCCACAATCGCGTGAGCCAACTTCCTTAAAATAAATCTCTTAATATATCTATCCACATATCGTATTGGTTCTAATCCTGTTGGTTCTGTTTCCCTAGAGAACTCTGACCAATCCAGTAGGAATATAGGTAATTTTTATTTCCATCTCTTTGTAAAACTCCTTTCTAACTTTTTTCTACAATGAATATGTATTTTTATGTAATAAAGGCAAAACAAGTGAAGCCAAGGCAGGAGGATTGCCTGAGGCCAGGCACTGAAGACCAACCTGGCCAACATAGTGAGCCCTCCATCTCTATTAAAACAAAATTTAAGTGGCCGCTGTTAAATCTTTTGAAAGGCTGGTGATATACATTTACAATTGGGTTATTTCTCAAATTCTGAGTTGTATATACCCTTCGGGAAGCATAGCCATCCACATAAAACAAAGGGCATTGTTAACATGGTGTGATGAAAACCATCAGCACAAGAACAGACCCCATTTATTGAGTCCCTATTATATGTCATCTCCTCTGCTGAGCACTTCAGAAACGTCAGCTCATGTCACCTTCTTGAAAATCCTGCAAGGTTCATTGTAAACTCTCATTTTACAGATAAGAGAAACAGGGCTTTGAGAGAAGAGGTTGCAAGACAAATCTAAGGACCCATCGTTTGCAAAAACTTACTGAGGCTCAGAAGCAAAGTGTTAGCCCTTGGAAAAAAGCAAAGCAAGTTGCAAAAACCATATGTCTCTCTCTGTAGCGGTGTCTGGGTCTATCGAGAGTGTAAAAGCGTTTTTTAGCATACACATATATATTTACATTTATGTGCAGAGAAGAGGATATGGAATAACTCCCTGAGCAGAAGGGTGGGGGGAGGGTGTTTATGAATGATAATTTTATATTTTAGCCATCAAAGACACCCTAGTGATTCTTTCTACCACATGGCACCTGATAGGCTGAAGTTGCTCACTGCAGTGACAAGCCAAGAAAACTAAGAGGACATTAGGAATTTGGTTAAATGACTGATTTCCAGGGCATCCCTCAGACTCCTGCTGTCTTAGCTTTCTGGGTCTCTGGCTTTATCCTGGTGAGACAAGTGGCAGTGGTAGTGGTGATAATGTCAGGATGCTGCTCATCTGCTCCGTGGTCCCTCCAGGCCTCAGTTTCCCCACATATAAATGAAGACTGGGAGTTAAACTATGCAGTGACTCTCATGCCTACTACCCTGGGAACATTCAAAGAGGTGTGGGAACACCTTTGATGGCTCCAGTGGTTTGAGGCCACTGGCACTTGAAGGGCTGGGGCTGGAAATGTGCATGCCTGTTCTGCACAGGACAGCCCTTCACCTCCTAAATGAGCACGTGCCACATCCCAAATGCCACTAGTGCCCTGTAGAGAAACACTGGACAGTCATCCATTTTGTGGCCTGAGTTGCTGAGTGGGATGCCCTGTAAGGTCACCTAGAGCATGATGTCCATAGCATGTGCCATACACATTGTGTGTGTGTCTGAGTTTTCCTCTATTGCTCAGGTTGGAGTGCAGATCTCGGCTCACTGCAACCTGCGCCTCCCAGGTTCAAGTGATTTTCCTGCCTCATTCTCCTGAGTAGCTGGGATTACAGATGTGTGCCACCACACCCAGCTCAATTTTTGTATTTTTAGTAGAGATGGGGTTTCACCATATTGGCCAGGCTGGTCTGGAACTCCTGACCTCAAGTGATCTGCTTGTCTCAGCCTCCCAAAGTGCTGGGATTATAGGTGTGAGCTGCCACACCCACCGGGGAAGTGGGCATTTGAGCTAAAGATTTACGGCAATGAGGTGGGAAGTCCCAAGCACTGTGGATTAGCTCTCACTTAACCAGAAAACTCAACCGGATGCTAAGTCAGGTCACTGGGCAACAAGATGCTAACTTTCCCTCTCTTTCCACTCCACTTGAATCTACTGAGTTCCTGCTAATGCCAGGCTCCATGCTGGGAACTCTGGGTCCACTCAGTCTGCACAGCACCCATAGGTGATAGATGCTATGAGTACCTCCATCTCACAGATGATAAAACTGAGGAAGCTGAGGCAGGCTCGCTGGCTTCCAGTGTTACAGAGCTGGCAAACAACAGGGTGAGATCAAAGCCAGGTTTCCCTGTCTCCAAAGCCTGTGCTTCTTCCAGTAATAATAATACTATTATGAATAGATGCTTATATTAATATAATATTAGCCCAGTGCAGTGACTCATACCTGTAATCCCAACACTTTAGGAGGCAAAGACAGGAGGATCCCCTGAGCCCAGGAATTTGAGATCAGCCTGAGCAACATAGCAAGACCCTATCTCTACAAATAATTTTTTTTTTTTAAATTAGCTATGGGTAGTGGTGCATGCCTGTAGTCCCAGCTACTCAGGAGGCTGATATGGAAGAATTGCTTGAGCCCAGGCAGTTGAGGCTGCAATGAGCCATGATCATGCCACTGCACTCCAGCCTGGTTGACAGAGTGGGACCTTGTCTTTAAGAAAATCATAATATTTTTGTGATTGTTATTGCTACCATGTACTGATTGTATGGTATGTGATGGGAAGTAGGCTGAGTTGTTCACACATGTGTCTCATTGAACTCTCCCATTCACCCTGGTCATATGGGGCTCCCCATTTTCACAGATGAGGAAACTCAAGGCTCAGAGGACTGAAACTGTTTGATGTGAGTCACCCAGCTTGTAAGAGTCAGACTTACATCTTTGATATTTATCAAGTGCCAGGCATTGTGTAAATGCTTGATATATCTTATCCGGTGGAACCTTCCTAAACCTTAGCAGGAAGATCTCATTCTCTCCATTATAAAGAAGAGAAAACAGGTGCAGAGGGGAAGTGACTTGCCCAAGGCCATACAGCTGACAAGTGGCAGTGTCTGGATTTCAACCTGGGAATGTCTGAACTCCAAGTCTCTACTCTCCTGGGCTGTCCCTTTTTAAAAAGCCACCCCTGGCTTTAGCATTTCACAACAGTGGGACATTGATTTTCTCTCTCCCACCCTTCATGTCCACTCTGCTTTTCACCACAAATCATTCAGAAAGTCAGGGCTGTCACTCTGAGGTCGCTTGACCCCGGGTCTCTAGAACCAACTTCAAATTGTTAACCTCCCTCTTCCCCACCAGAATCCTATTTGAGGGACCATCATGAAATCCTCCCAGGTCGTAAGCTAGAGCTTGGAGGGTTGCTAAAGACAGTATTTTGGGGGTTGGAGCCAACAGAGGCCCCTTTAGGGCTGGGGCAG